GGGCCCCTCGTAGGCCTCTGGTGCCCAGCTTCTACTATATGAAACCATTTTCCCAAGAAAATAATAATAAGACTTTCGGGACGAAGCGTCGTTGTCTCGAGGTGGAACCTGGGCAAGAGCACTTTTTCTCCCCCGCAGAGCGATTCCGTTGGGTAAACTTCCCTCCGAGAGGGGGGAAATCGAAGCCATCGACATAACAAATGATCATGTCATCATGGGAGGACCAATCTTTATCAACATCTTCACCAGCACCATCTCATCTCAGACCCTAGTTCATCTCTTGTATTCAATCTTTGTCTCAAAACCTTAGATTGGTACCTGTGGGTTGTTAGTAGTGTTGATTACATCTTGTAATTGATGCTAGTTGGTTTATTTGGTGGAAGACTATATGTTAAGATCCTTAATGATATTCAATACCCCTCTAATATTTAACATGAATATGATTTGTGAGTACTTATTTTTTTTCTTGAGGACATGGGAGAAGTCTTGTTATAATTAATCATGTGAATTTGGTATTCGTTCGATATTTTGATGATTTGTATGTTGTTGCTTCCTTTAGTGGTGTCATGTGAACGTCGACTACATAATACTTCACCATACTTGGGCATAAGGGAAGGCATTGTGGAGTAATAAATAGATGATGGGTTGCTAGAATGATAGAAGCTTAAACCCTAATTTATGCGTTATTCTGTAAGGGGCTGATTTGGATCCATATGTTTCATGCTATGGTTAGATTTATCTTAATTCTTCTTTCGTAGTTGTGGATGCTTGCGAGAGGGGGTAATCATAAGTGAGATGCTTGTTCAAGTAAGAACAACGCCCAAGCACCGGTCTATCCACATATCAAATTATCAAAGTAGCGAACGTGAATCAAATAAACATGATGAAAGTGACTAGACAATAATTCTCATGTGTCCTCGAGAACACTTTGCTTATTACAAGACAACGTTTCGGCTTGTCCTGTGCTATAAAAAGAATTGGGCCAACTTGATGCGCCTTTGTTACTATTGCTACTTGCTACTCGTTACGACCTTGCTACAAAACTATCTGTTACCGCCACTTTCAGTACTTGTAGACAATACCTTGCTGAAAACCAATTATCATTTCCTTTTGCTCCTTCTTGGGTTTGAAAGTCTTAAGTATCGAAAGGACTATGATTGATACCCTACACTTATGGGTCATCACCTCGCTGCCATCGTCCTTCTCTTCCTCCCCTCTTCTCGCCGCCACCAGAGAGGGCCGGAGGGCAAGCCTCAAGGCTCCCAAGGACGGTGACACGGTTGTGGGCTTCCTCAAAGGCGTGGCTGCGAGGCGGCGGTGTGAAGGCATGGTTGAGGCGTGATGGTGGGCATGCTCGTGCCGGGCGTAGTGCTCTGGTTAGGAAGTGCGACGTTGCTTTGGCGGCCGGTGCACTCCTGGTCTAGTGGCGGCTGCACTTTGCGTGGGTGAGCATCGATAATGGGCATCTACTTTCGTGCTCCAGATCTAGCCATGTCGACCCGTTGGCCGACGGGCATGGGCAGAGCTCTTTTCGGTGAAGTGGCAGTCGGCGGTTATGTGCTTTGTCGTCGGTGTTGGTCCGAGTGGTGACCACTCCGCCCTGCAGAGGCAGCCTCACTGCAGATTGTGGTGGCCACCAAAAGGTCTTCGTGAGGGTTCTCCCTTTAGATCCTATGGTTGTCTTCGACGATGAGATGTAATTTATGAACGACGGCTTGATGCAGAGGGTATGGTTATGCAGCGGTGACGGTCGCCAATCTCATGTAGCTGCTGGGATAGTAGAAAAGTGGTGCCAACAACATTTGAGTGACTTTGATGTGGTGCTACTCAAGCACCGGTCTCGAGCTCCTGGGTGAAAACCTAGCTCCGACCCGAGTTGGTATACCTGACAATGGTGATATTTTTGCGCCGTTACCTTATAGAAGGTATTGCTCGGACTGATTCTTTAGGGTGAAAACCTAGAATCTGGCCTTTGATGGTTAGATCAGGTGACAACGACGCTTGAGTGTGGCTCCGTTCATGAAGGTGTTGCTATTGAAGAACATCATCGCTTGTGGTTTCATAAGATGTTTGGTGCGCATAAGGTTATTGTTGTAGTTTGTCGATCATGGATTTTTTTTCTGCGAGAGAACTTTTCAATCTATTCATCAATCTTGGCAGTACATAGAGCACTAGAGGTAATAAAATTACAACCAGGTCCATGGACCAACTAGCGACGACTACATGCATTGGAGCAAAGCCGAAGGCGCGCCGCCGTCATCGCCCATCCCTCACTAGAGCCGGGCTAATCTTATTGTAGTAGACAATTGAGAAGTCGTCGTTCTAAGGCCCTAAAAGACCAGCGCACCAGAGTATTCGTTCAGTATTAAATGGATGAAAATGACCTTTATCAAAAAAAAAAATTGAGCCATCTTAAATAATTTAAGCCCATAACTAGTGTAATCGTAGATGAACTAAAATGGATGGACTGGAATGCTAAGCAATAACAGGAACAATGCCATACATGGAAATTGAAAAAGGTCGGCTTTATCTACATCAGTTTAGGTTTTTTTTGGAATGGGTGTAAAAATTTTGCCGCCTTCAGTATTTAGCTTAAACTTGGACTAAATACTGATGGGTACAAAAAAATCACATCCTTTCCGAACGGACTTTACAGTTCTTTCTGACGTGGCAATCCTAGAATTAGCAATAGAGCACTATGTATTAAGAGTAGTTCAGTCAGTCGTCAACTGCTGTCCATATTATTCAGATAGTGATCCTAAGCATTGTCTATAGACTATTCTTAGTTTAGACGTCGCTATAGGGACCTATCGGATATCAAAAAAAATCCAAATTTGTGGATACGACTCGTCGACTCGGCGCACCGATGACAATGATGTGGCACCAGCAAAATTTTAGATTTGTAAATCTGGAAAGGTACTTTTTTGATAAAGATCTGAAAAGAATGTAGGTACGTATGCACATGCATCCATGCATACGGAAGAACTTTTATTTATGTGAAGCATATCTTTGAAAGAGCTTACAATAATCTTGCTTGTGCCCCTATACACAACTACCTTATCCAACAAAAAATACAACTCTACTGTACATATTCTCAAATTCTCAGATATCACTGACTTCCCTACCGTTGAATAGGTCACCACTTTTTTTAACTTGCACGCAATGTCCATGAATTGAGCAAGTGTAAACGTAACTAAGAGTCTGCACTGTTACACGGAGCCTATCACAAAAGGATAAATATTTACTGGGAGATCTCTTGGGTGGAACCCTAAATCCCTTGGAATATACTACTCCCTCCATCTTGAATTACTTGTAACGAAAAGAAAAATATGGATATATTTAAAACTAAAATACGTCTAGATACATTCATTTTTGTGACAAGTAATTCCTGACAAAGGAGTATAAAATATGATGTCAATCACCATTGGGTGTCGGCAGATCGCAATCCTTTATGCTGTCCTAATTTTAAAACTAAATAATATGTTACAATGGTTGATGCCGGAATGAAACCAAACGCTGTGAGTACCATCTTTTGCCACAACACGAAACTTGCGCAATAATGTTATAAATAGTGTGGCAATTAAGTGAACTGGATAATGGCCAATGGGTACCATGATGATGACTTGCGTGTACCTTGTCCCTGTCCACCTTTGTTAGGTCGCACATCATGATCATAACTGTTCTCAGTCGTCCAAAATATGCAGCTGGTCTGTCACGTGCTTACATAAGGTTCCTGCAATTATGCTACAGCACCTAGCAAGGAAACTATATGTGCATGAAAATATCTTTCAAGAAAGTTTACTCGTAAAAGTTTCAAGTATCTTACAAAAAAAACTAGACCAGTATGGAGAGGAGCCCCTACGGCTTTTAATTAAGATTATTAAGATTAAGAAGGAAATATGAGACCCACGTAGAACCGAGGTTCAAACCCGCGCCAGCTAGAAGGCGGCACTGCACTCTGACCACTGGGGGCTAAGAGCCCATCCACCAAGTTTCAAGTATCTAATCTGAGCATTCTGTAAGCTTTAACATTCAAGTAAAAATTGATTTGCCTATTTCTCGAAGGGTCACTTTTTTCTTCAATATCGGGCATAGCGAGAGGAGGTGAAGATAAATGTAGTGCAGCATTTAGAGTACGTGTTCAAAAGTGTCTTCTTATCTTCTCACAACTATTTGAAATAGAGAAGACTCGTTTACACGTATCGTGTTTTGCCTAGAAGGCCCGCTTCTGATATTCTTTTGTTTGTGAGGTCATTTGTTGTTGTTTTGCTAAGTCGTTTGTACTCTTTCCTTCTTCTATGATGATCACATGCAGTTCTCCTTCATGATTTCTGCATGGTTCGGCAATCTTCTGCTCTGTCTCGTCCAAGAAATGTAATGTCGGTCAAGCACATGCTAATGTGGCATGTTAATTACTTAGTGGAGAAGATACGTGTTACATTTTCTAATGGAAACTTAAGAAGTTGGACCATCAATTAAGTTCTAGCAGCGAGCAGGGACTATTGCAATTGGTTGATAAGTTCCTCTCGTAGGAGTACTTGACTTGTTCTATTTGCTCACATGCAGGTTCATGCATATCACCACGCTGTTGCTTGCGCCAGCTCTGTCAATCTGCGGCTATTTAAGCACACCCATCCATGCCTCCATTGGCAAAGCAACTCACAATGGCTTCCTCTTCCTCATTGTTTCTCCTTGCAGCCCTCCTTGCGCTGGCCTCATGGCAGGCCACTGCCTATGATCCTAGCCCTCTTCAGGACTTCTGCATTGCCGACATGAAGGCGCCTGGTATGCACTACACATATTATGTGCGCGTATACATGTGTGTCCTTAATTCTAGTGATGTCGTGGTTAATGTTGTGATAGCCTAGCATTGATCACAGATGGAAGGTTACTACATGCTAATAATATAGAGTTATAAAAGCATTATTACTACATGCTCAAGCCGCACACATTACTTTCTAAGATTTATGTTACTTTCTCTATGCGTGCAGTGCGAGTAAATGGATTTGCTTGACCCAATGGCCGCAACCCCGGAAGACTTCTTCAACGCAGCCATGCTCGATCAGCCTAGGGATACTAAGGCGAGCAAGGTCAGGTCTAACGTCACCAACATCAATGTTATAAATTTCCCCGGCCTCAACACCCTCGGCATCTCGTTGGCACGCATCGACTATGGACCATTAGGTGTGAACACGCCACACATACACCCTCGTGCCACTGAGCTCCTCACAGTGCTCGAGGGGACACTCTACCTTGGATTTGTCACATCCAACCCAAACAGGCTCTTCTCAAAGATAGTTAAGAAGGGTGATGTATTCGTATTCCCAAAAGCAATGATCCACTTCCAAATGAACCTAGCGCATGACAAGCCAGCAGCCGCATTGTCCTCGCTCAGCAGCCAAAACCCTGGAGTTATTTCTATTGCCAATGCAGTGTTTGGATCAAAGCCACCGATTTCGGATGATGTCTTAGCCACGGCATTTCAGGTGGAGAAGGATCTGATTCACTGGCTTCAATCTCAGTTCTGGGGGAACACCAACTACTAAATATTCTCTTTTATCTGGGCATATGGGAAGTTAATATGTAATGATATATAGAATAAATGACATGCAATACGTATGAATGGAATACAGAGGTGCTCCTTTCTCCCATTGCTGATATAGAGGTCCATGGTGTTAATGAGAAAGCATCAATGATTGGGCACGCATGTCATTTTAGCACAGTTTACATGTACACCAAACTTGTTTTTGCCTGACAAGGTAATTTGTTCATTAAAACCAAGAGATGCAAACTTGTTCCGTGGTGAGAAATCATTTGGCATGCTGGAAATTTAAGACGTCAAAAAAATATGAGACCAATCCAAGAGTTAACTCGCGTTGGCTTTTTTTTATACGAGAAACTCCGCGAGCGCCGCGAGTCAGAGCCGAGGCTCAAACCCAGGCGGGCTGGCCGCAACTCTAGCAGCACAACCAACGGGTCGACGCCCCGTCCTCAAAAATTAAGACGTCAACCTTTAACGGATTAAGCAACATAGATGGAAGAGCAGAGATATAATTGTTACTTCCTCCGTCCCATAATATAAGAGCATTTTATGCACTACACTAGTGTACAAAACAGTTTTATATTATGGGACACAGAGAGTATGATGTAGTTGCTCGGTGCCAAGTATGTGCATTCCTAATAATGGTTTGAAGTAAACACGAAAGATGGGGCACACGCTGGGGCTATCCATGAATATCATTGATCAATAAAATCGAGCAGTGTTGAGCTACATCCTTACGCTTGTTTTGTGCTTATCCTTTTTTTGTTCTTGATAGATTGCGTAGTAACATGGTTACTACAACAAGTTAGTGCTTGGTAATCACGTGCTCCACATATTAATTGGATTTTACTCAGGTATTAATTGCTTTGGTTATTATCTTGATCGAACAACACCGCCGAAACAACTGTTGTTGGTGATTCTAAGAAATAAAAACAAAGCAGCATACACCGGAGGGATCCAGCAAAGGTATGCTTATGTGCCGATCTCTTTCTGAAGGCGTTGTTGTAACAACCTCGCCGCATATGTGGTGTCATGAGATGGTTGGTGCGGATCTGATCATTGTTGTAGTTTGCCGATCGCGGATCTGATCGTTTTGGATTTTTCTTTTTTTACTCGCTTATACATAGTTTTGGTCTTATATGACCTTACTATTTGCGGGCGTGTTTTTTGTATGCGTGTTGGTATTTGTTGTATGTATTCTAACTATGTAGAGACTGAGTACACCGAGTGTGTGCTCATTTGTATTATTTTAAGAGTGAATTCCATTTTTTACCTTGTAGTTGTACATTTGTGACACATATTACCCTATTTAGCGGAACTTTTATCGAAATGTCAGATTTTGGAGACTTTTAACACGGTTTTACCCCAGTTTTACATTTTGTTTGTTTATGGTCGATAGGATCGGCATGTTGCGTCATTGATTCGTAAAAAAAACTGTAAGGATCGGAGGGCATCATTGGCGATCTTGTCCAAGCTTCTCTTGTCTATCTGTTCCACTCCTTGTGGCCGTCCACATGTTTTTGGATACAGGGCGTCACCTCACACCTTACCTGATGGACATGCATCAAAAAACAAGGGTCCAAAGATTTCAAAAGGGGTATTCTAGACGAATTTTCACTCGAAGGGGTAATTAGTGTCACAAATGTATAAATATGGGGTAAAAAGTGGAATTCACTCTTATTTTAATGCTCCAATTGAAGCCAAAAAAAATCACCCCCGTCAAAAACTGTACTAAGAAAGCTCAGTCAGTTATCGACAATGAAACCATTGTCGGTCAGTCATCAAGAATTAGCCATACTAGTGCTTCGTTCAGTCACGAGAGAGACCTATAATAAATTGATGAATTCCATTTCGTGCACATGAACACAACCACCTGGCACATATATATAATCTTGCTTGTGCACCTAACACTAGTACGTGGATCAGAGACGTCTCCATCGTTGAATCCGTCGCCATCTTTCCTGGGAGTGGTTACTTGCACGCAAATGAATGCAGTCGTAGCGGCCTCTCTTAGGTGGACACCAAACCATATTCATATATTCTGAGAAATTCTAACAAACGCATACATGTAGAGGAGATGGTACAACCGTACAAAAATGCCAAATTTCAGGGTCAGAACTTGATGTTGATCTCGTGATCCGAGGTCAACACACCAACACATGAGTTGATGCCTTCTTGCCCTGTGAAATGTTGATCCAATCCAAAATGCTTAACTGATTATGCGGCAGACGACGCAGGATGAAAATGAAATGTTGACGACTGCTTAGTCTGTGGACATTGCATAGTTCACACCATCATTTTTAAAATTTTGCGGGGAAAAACTGATTGCATTAATTAAACAAAGTATTAAAATCATCTTGGATGGAATCACTAACTTTTGAAGGAAAATTCACTAGCCTACACGCAGTGCGCTGCTTATCCTCTTTGGCTCGCCGTGTCCTAGGCAGTGCAAGAAGAGGTGAAACCGTGAAAGAGGTGTTACATGCTACCCAAACAACTTTGAAGCTAACTATTATATCGGGCTCCCGGCGACGGATGGGAGAGGAATAAAGGAAAGTTTATAAACTTGCAGGAGAGACTGGCAAAGCAACTGCTTCAACGGGGGTGAAATTTACCTTCTCAAGGTGGGAAGGAGATCATGTTGAAGGCAGTTGCGCGGACACTACCGGTGTATGTGATGGGTGTTTTCAAATTCCCAGCTGAGCTTTGTGATGACCTAACAAAGATGATACAGATTATTGGTGGGGTGAGGACAAAGGAAAACAGCGCGCTCACTGGATATCTTGGGACAGTATGCTCCGGCCAAAGGCCATGGGAGGAGTGGGGTTCACCAGCCTGCGGCTCTTTAATCAAGCATTGTTACCCCAACAAGCCTCGCGTCTAATTCAATATCCTAGCAACTTATGAGCGTAGGTGCTTCGTGCAAAGCACTACCCGAAAGGGATCCTCGCGTACACCGTCTTCAAGGGAATGCTTCCTAGACTTGGCACGCGTTCGAGCATGGTTTGGAGCTCCTGAATAAAGGTATTATTTGGCGTGTGGAAACGGGGCTAGCATCCGGGTATGGCATGACTCCTGGATCCCTTGTGGTGCACCATATCGGTCGATTACCACGCGGCATGCATGTCGTCAGACGGTCGATAGTTCATGGCTGTCTTCATGGAGAGTAAATTGCCAAAAACCACCACAATTGCGTCGCTTAGTGTAAAAAACCACCATTTTTATAAAAGTTTGCCGAAAATATCAATTTTCAGTAATCACGTTGCCGAAAACACTAACTGGTTGATTGAACGTGTTTTGACAGCAAACCTGACATCTCGGCCCCACCAGTCAGGGCGACGTGGCCGTTAACGTGGCTTGCATTGACCTGGTTCGACTGAACCGAGTCAGTCAACGTTGCTGCCATGTAGGGTCCAATTGTCATAGGAAGAAAACATAAAAGAATTTTTTTTCTTTCTCTGTATCTCCCCACGAGCCAACGCCTCGATCCGCCGCTACACTCGGGACGACTGGTAGCCGCACCCGCCGGAGCGCCGCCGGCCGGCCGGCGAGCTATGCCGCGAGCAGATCAAGGCGAAAGTCGTGTCTCGCCAGAGTTGGAGAGCATGTAGCTTCCCCTTCCTTTTTTTTCTGTCCAGAGAGAAAGAGAGCTCCGCCTGAGCACGACCACCATAGACCGCGCGGCTAACGGCCTCTGTCGACCTCGCACCCATGTCCAGGAACATCGCCCTCCTCCTCTACGTCCTCCTGCAGCTTTAATTGGACGGACGCGTCCCGACCGCCACTCGCAGGTCTTCTTCCTCCTCTCCGGCCGGACGTCATCGTCTCCGAAATATGTCGACGGCACTGCACCGTCGACTTCCTCGACTCCTCCATTGGCTCCGACGCGACGCCACACACATGTTAGACAAGATCCCTGTCCATGGCCACTCACGCCCCTCCCCCCAGCGCCCCGCCGTCCATGGCGCGCCGCAACACGTCGACTCCGGCGAGACGGCCACGGCAGCCTCCTAGCCCTACGCCCCAGCTCAACCTATCCAAACCACCACCACCACTAGCTCCGCCGGCTCCTGTGGTCAGCAGCGACGATTGGCAGGGAGGTCGTGGCGGAGGCCATGGCGGCGTCGTGGCCATGGCGTGCGTCGGGTACGACGCAGGTGGAGCTCAGGGGTGGGGAAGGAAGGTACTAGAGGCGGGGCTGGCAACGTTCGGCTCGCCGGAGTCCGTCGACGGACGGCGGCGCGGAGCCGTGCGGTGCGCGTGGCGCGAGCAGCGCCCGGTCGCTGCACACAACGTATTCGATAAAATGAACACCTGTGCTGACGATTGCCCTTTTGTTAATTTAACGTTTCAGCCGACGGCGTTAATTCTTGGTGCCACGTCAGTCCTCAAAGTGGGCCCCATCTGTCATATTTCGCATCGAACGGCTATTAATCGACCGGTTAGTGCTTTCGGCAACGCGATTACTGAAAATCGGTGTTTCCTGCAAACTTTTATGAAAACGGTGGGTTTTTGCACCGAGCGACGTAATTGTGGTGGTTTTTGGCAATTTACTCCTTCATGGAATACTCAACTCATATAGCAACACTTCTTCCCTGTGGATGTTCCAGAGATTCTGAATATCAAATCATTGAGACCCCTTGCGGAAGACTTCATCGCCTGGCAGCCTGACAAGGCACTATTTGTTCTCGGTCCATACTACATATGCGCTTGGCCTGGAGGTGATCATGGAGGAACACAGGATTGCTGCGACGAGTGTACCCTAGTGGTATACAACCGATCTGGAAGC